TCTCAGAAATCTTCAGAACGACATAAGAAGGACGTAAAAGCTGACTCAAAACGATTTGCGTGTTGGATGGTCAAATGGTCAAGAAATGGACCGTCGTCTAGCCCGGTGTTGCGTAGTGCAAAAATCTCCGTCGATTTGTTTAATTTATCCTGTCAGATTTCTATTTTCCTGATTGGTTGTCTGCTTCTGATTGTGCATGCTTCTTCTTCTTCTACTTCTTCTTCTTCTTCTTTGTTTTTCCTTTTTCTTGTCTTGTCTTGTTTATTCTTTTTCCTGCTCTCTGCTTGTTTCTTCTTTTTCTGCTTGCTTATCCTGTTGTGAAGAAACCTAGCGCCAATCTAGCGCTGCCTTGCTGTATCACCATAGTCTGCTGGGGGCCCGCTTCTAAACAAAGACTTAAAAACACATCTCCAACTCCAACCTTCAAAGTTTACGTTTATCTAGATTTTTTGAGTAGGGCTTTTTGAGCGCAGTCCATATATACATATACATACTTATATCTAGATCTATTTATTTACCTTGTTTACATGTGTGTGTGTGCCATGCTGATGCAAAAACATTTCAATCGGGCCGAACTTGCCACCCTCATGTTCTGTACAACTTGTAGCTTGGGTAGTTTGGCATCTCCTGCATATCCTATAGGAGTGTGCCAACAACAGTATGAGTAGCAAATGTGGACCGCACATTCTATTCCAAATGAGCCGGTCAAATACACACTCGTGTCTGGGCCCTGGGTGAACAGCTTGGCAGTGTAGAATGACTCTCCCTCATACTGATCTTTGTTTGCGAATCGGAACGTTCAAGATCTGATTGCCAAAACAAGCAGCATTTCAAAGCCTAAGCAAAAAGGGGTTTGACAGTCAATAACCAATGCTCTCAGCCGACTGCTGTAGTCCACAACTCTGGCAATCTTGCCCGACAACCCTTAGGGCACCCACAACGTTGAGTTGAGTGGGTCCAAACACTGGACAGCTATATGGTCAAACATGGGTGAGATCATTGATTCGATGATATTGGCAGTGAAGGTCAAGGTGACCGTGGTGATGCATTGATGATGATGATGGTGGTGATGATGATGGTGATGACGATGACGATGACGATGAGGATGATGATGATGATGATGATGATGA